CGATTTATATGAGCACAAAGCAAGGTATTTTTTTTTTCCAACTGGCCGGCAGAGACTTTTAAAAAATACTTCACTTCTAAAATCGATGCACTTCAATTTGTTTTTGTGAAATGAGTTGATTTCAACAATGTAGATGCTGACTTCCGGCTTGACACAGCGATGAAACAGCAGCAGGAGGACAGAGCTCCATCCCCTGGGCAGATTTCCCACCTGTCTGGGACCCTCCATGGGGTTAAAACCATCCCAAAGAGGTGGCAAAATGGGGGAGAAGCCTATTGATCACGAAGGGGGGAGGGATGTCAGTTACCCACGATTGATCTGGGATACTCCCCAATCAACTGGGGGTGGAAACAAGCAGCTGAACTAGCTTACTTGCAAGTCATCGGCAGCCAGCAATGCAGAACTGATAAATCAGCCTAATTAACATCGTGTTACCACTCGGTGAGAAATTTTTTTTAACTGTATTGCTTTACTATCCCTGGACAAGAAAATTCCTATGGTAGAAATAGTGTCTTCTATTCCCCAACACTGACTGAGCAGCAGTGAATCTGGAGAGAGGAGGAGACGTAGGGAGACACAATTGGAAATAAATTATACATTTAATTATACTTCAAGGAAGGAAGTTTGGTATTTGTTGTTATAAACTTAAGAATCTTTCTCCTGAAAACATCATTGGCAACAACTCTGGGAAACGAAATTTGTTTATGCTACTTGAAACAGCTAGCTAAGGTGTTGGCAAAAAAGCCTAGAATCAATGACCTTGAACACTTTATGGCAGTTTGGAATTCCCTTTCTTTTTGAGGACGGAACTTAACTACAGATAAATTAACCCTAGAAAGCCCAATCCAGCCAAAGTGGAACTTCTAAACTGTACCTTGTTTTCTGAACTTGACTGGACCTTGAGCCTTTAGGCGAGGAAAACTCTCTATGTTTGAGACTGGATTCAAGCTGAACTCTGATCAATCTATTAAAGTGGACCTATGGAAGCAAGTATTGATAGAACTGGACTGATTAAGCATTTGGACAACTTTCACTTGGGATATAATTATTTGACATCTGGGCATAATGCCGCAACAAGGACAATTTTGGGATGAAACAAAATCTACTCTTCAAGCAATTTTAGAAATAGTGAGATCCCATAACTAAGAGGCGAAATTATTAAAGGATCAGTTGAAGAAGAACTATAGTCAACAGGAGACAGGGAATAATGAACAAGTAAATGAGAGGGTGGTGGATGATGTATGCCAATCAAAAGAGGGGCTGAAGGAAATTATAGAAGAAAACCTAGGAGATTTAACTCTAACCCTGGTGCCAAAGATAATTTTAGGTGTGCTAAGGGAAGCTAAGGGGAGAGAATCAGGAGATCTAATTTAAAAGAGCCTGGATGATCTATTGGAGATAGATCAAATGTATAAAATATTCTCAGGTGGCACAAGGCATGGCAGAATTTTTAGAGAGATAGAAACAAGAATTGGGAAAAGATAAATAAGAGAAGGAGTTACTTAGAAACATGAAAAAGGAAAAAAATATTAATGTGGCCTTCAACGTGGAAAGCATATATATACCTAACTTCTGGAATTGTAAGGGGGCATATCCTATATATTATAAAAAGGAATTAAATTGAAATAAGGGATCACTAATCAGGGTAAAGGGACAACACGGTGGAAGCTAGATATAAGGATAAGGTAAAACAAATAGTACTTAATGAACATACATTAGATATGATACTGATATAGATATGATAGAAAATGTGGAGATAGAAATGGTTAAACCATTATATAAAGAAAAGCTGTATAAAATGCTTTAGATAACATCTGTTCTGTGTTAGGAACCTATTCAGTTATTAATGATATAAAATACAAAGTTCGCTGGTTAAATCACCTCAAAATTATATAAATTTAGAACCGGAATTACTTTTATTATGTATATTATTAGAGGACTTTGAGAACATTGTATATTATGAGAGCAATATTAGGATAGTAGCCAATATTGTTTACTAAAATATACACATGAATGGTTTAAATGTTTAAAAAATGTATAGATTTTGAAGGGACAATTAAGACACCAAGATGCAAAAAAACCCACAAATAATTATAAGCAACCCATATAATACAGTGTTTAACAAGCATGAATTAAATGTAGATAGATTGAAAAACTAATAAAATATTTTAAAAACACACACAATGCAAATGCCAAAACTGATTTAAATTATCAGAAAAAAATGTATTTCCATTTAGTGCATGTGAATGCATGCAGCCACCAGTTTAAATACTAAATGACTTGAACCTGATTTTTTAAAAAATCTGAATAGATTCAAATTATTGGTGGGACCATAGCCATATTTTTGAACAAAGGAAAAAAATAAAAATAAAAATAAAAAAAGTAGCCAAATCCTGTTTAACACTCCAAATCCATCACATTAATCTTACCCCTCTGCAAGTTAAAAACGAAATACATTATTTTTTATTCTGTTTTATCAGCTGCATAAAGATTGCCAATATCTGGATCTCACTTTTTGCTACCCATTCTCCCCTCTTAAAGAATATATAGCTTATGCTTCTTGCAACATCTACAGCTCATGTCATTTAGCTACTGCTGCTGTTCCCAAACTTTCCTCCCTCAAGGCCACTTTCACAGTTGACCATCACACTTCTATGCAGATACCTCCCATCAATATTTCTCAAAGAGTTTCTTTTAAGATTTCTTCCTCCCCTTTCCCCCCCCTTCTTCTGTTACTGAAACATTAACTGAAAAGCAAGGGGGAAATGTCCTCAGAATGCGCTGATGTGCACATTTGTTCCTTTTGTTCTTGACTATGAGTTAAATAATAAATATGAACAAGAAGATGCAGAAGAAAAAAGTTGTCGAGTTGTCATCCTTAAGAATAATCTCAAAAACGTGCAAAATAGAAAAAGAGGTGTACATCAGATTGTTTTGTCTATTTTTTCTCTGTGCAACCTATGCCATGTACAACAGTTAACAGTACTAAAACTCAGATTTCAGTTGCCTCAGTGCATTTATCTCAGAGAGCAGAAGGGAACTATTAAAATGGAATGACCTTAAAAGCTATTGTAATTTTAGGTGTATTTTCGCAGAACAAATTGGCTACACACATAAACACGTCATGTTGATCCTGTGTCTTATGGGACAGAAAATGCTGCTAATCATTCTAAATATTTAACACAGGAAGGGAAGAAAGGTGCTTACCACTTAGAAATTTATCTTGAAAAGTAAAATGTCTGAAGTTTCCAAACTTTGTTCTATATAGTGGTACCTCGCATAATGATAACTCTGTGCGATCGCTATAGCGATTCGCAAAACAATCATTCCAATGGGCGATTTTCGCTTGATGATTTTGGCCGTGCTTCATGGACCATTTATTCGCAAGACGATTTCTACAGCTGATCGGCAGCTTCGCAAAATGGCTGCCCTATGTTTTCGGGACCTATGCTTCGCTGGACAGCCATTTTAACAACTGATCGGCGCTTCACAAAATGGCTGCCCTATGGGCGATCTTGCAAAATGATGAGGTATTTTCCCCATTGGAACATATTAAACGGGTTTCAATGCATTCCAATAGGGAAATGGTTTTTGCATGATGATGATTTCACTAAACAGCGATTTCTATAGGATGGATTAGCATTGTCATGCAGGGCACCACTGTATGTTCTTTACAATGGTGCCTCGACTTGCAAACGTCTCTACTTATGATGATTCCGAGTTACGACCAGCTCCAGCCGAAAATTTTGCTTTTACTTGCAACCAGAGCTTCCACTTACAAACAGAAAAGGGCAGGGGAAAAAGGCGGGAAATTCAAATTGCTAACTGTAGGTGGCGATGAGGCTGTTTATTTGTAGCTCTTTCGCCCCAACAGTTAGAGAGTGTGCATCGGAGGAGGCTTGGGACTGCCTCCTGCTTCTGAGTGAGCATGTTTGTGTGTTTCCATGGAGGCTTCAGGCTGCCTGGTAAGGTAAGGTGCTTTTTCCTGCTTTTTAAAAACTGTTCTGGGTGTTTTTGCAGCGTGGTTTTGGTCTGGGGGGTTTATGTTTCTGTGCTCTGATGGGTCTTGGGGGTTTGTTTTTTGGTTTCCCCCATTTTCGGTGAGTCTTGGGGGATTGGTTGCTTTTTGGAGTGTTTTTCCCCATTTCCGATGGGTCTTGGGGGGTTTGGTCACTTTTTGGGGGGTTCCCCATTTCCGATGGGTCCTGGATGGTTCCCTTTCTTTTTCCTTTGTTCTATTTGCATTTCTGACTTCCCCCTTTTGTTCTCTGTGCATTTCCAATCTGCTCCGTTTGTTTTCTGTGCATTTCCAATGGGTCTTGCACGCCTGATTGCTTTTCTCCCCCCCCCCCCTTTGGCTGGAAGGGATCAATCGCGTTTCCAATGAGGCTTGCAGTGGTTTTTTGTGATTTTTTTCTTCAGCTGGAACAGATTAATTGCATTTCAATGCATCTGTATGGGAAATGGTGCTTCGACTTACGACTATTTTGAGTTATGTCCATCTTCTGAAACGGATTATGGTCACAAGTCGAGGCACCACTGTATTATATTCGGCACTGGAAGTGCAAGAATGAAATATTTTGCTTTAAATTCATTAGAATTTACAGTGTGATAATTGTATGCCACTGGCCTCATTAGAATTCAATGGGACAAACATAGCCTTAAATCTAAATACTTTCTTGCTTCATTTGCCTACCAGTGGGCTGTTAACCTAAAGTGAAATATTTCTGATAGAACAGAAGAGTACTCTGATCTCAGTATTTGATTGAAAAATGGGTATTCACACACTATTCTTTTAAATATATAGTAACAATAAATAGCCACTTACAAAGGCAATAATACTTATAGTACAAAAAACAAAACAAAAGAAAAACCCTGAAGTCACATAAATATAGTTCAGTGGGAAACAAAAAAAACTATACAAATGCTACTCTTCCCATCAAAATAGAAGAATCAGTACTGCTGTGGCATTTATAACATAGGAATCCTCTTACACTTACCCACACTAGAATTCAGATCCCCATTTTCAGATTCGGCTCCATGCTGGTTATTACTGGCATGATAGTTCGACATAGCTTCTAATTTGATTTTCTTCACCTTCATGGCTTCTGCAATAGCTGCATTGGTGGCAGCCGCTGCCGCCGCTGCTGCAGCTGTCAAACCTGAAAAAGGAATAGGAATAAAACTAATGAAGCTGTAACTTCTATCAAGTTTGCATCTGAACTGAATCTAAGCATCATCTTTAAGCAAAACATTTTCAAGTGACTGGATATCAAGTGTGCAATGAAGATTTGTTGTTTAGATGTTAAAGTCATGTCCAACTCTTTGTGACCCCATGGACCAGAGCACGCCAGGCCGTCCTGTCCTCCACTGCCTCCCGAGTTGTGTCAAATTCATGTTGGTAGCTTCGGTGACAGTCCAACCATCTTGTCCTCTGTTGCCCCCTTCTCCTCTTGCCTTCACTCTTTCCCAACATCAGGGGCTTTTTCCAGGGAGAATGAAGATTTTAGAACTACAGTGGAACCTCTACTTACGAACGTCCCTACCTATGAAAATTTCAACTTACAAACAGCTCCGGCCGCAAAATTCTGCTTCTACTTGCGGCTGGAGCTTCAACGAACTAACCAAAAAAGGCAGGGGAAAAGGGTGGGACATTAAAATTTGCTAACCATTGGTGGCGAAGAGGCTGCTTCTTTGTAGCTCTTTCGCCCCAACGATTAGGAAAAGGGAGGCTCAGCCTCCCGGGCTTCCAGCACCACCACGATCGGCGCCTTCAGAGGCCTCTCCAGCCACGTGTGTCTACTTATGAGTAAGGGCCATCGAAAGTGTGTGTTTACTCATGAGTAAGGGCTGATGAAGGCACAGGTCTACTCATGAGTAAGGCCTGCCAAACGCCCTGGGTGTGGCGTGCGGCAGGAGGAGGAAAGAGAATCGATTGGGTGCTGGTGCTTTGGAATCCATGGAAGCCTCCGCAGAGGCTTTGGACTGGGAAGGTGCTGCTTTTTCCTTTTAAAAAAGTTGTTCTGGGTGGGTTTTGGAGGGTAGGTTTCGGCTGGGGGGGGTTTACGTTTCTGTGTTGTTGTTTTTTGTGTCTTGTTTTGTTTTTTGCAGTCCCAGCATGGGTGCTCCAATGTTCATTTTTTGATTCATTCGGGGGGTTTTGTTTGTTTGTTTGTTTTTGCAGTTCCAGCGTGGGACTTGCAGTGTTTATTTTCATTTTATTTTTTATTTTTTGATATTTTTTCTTTGGCAGGAATGGATTAATCGGTTTTCAATGCATTCCTATGGGAAATGGTGCTTCTACTGACTAACGTTTCAACTTACGGCCACCATTCCAAAATGGATTAAGTTTGTAAGTAGAGGTATTTACAACAAAAGTATACAAAATGTACCCAGCACAGCCATAAAGAACTGGAATGTATTAACCGGCACGCTGGGGGAAAGCATTCTCTCAATACGTTTTAGTTAATCCGACATCCTGTACTATTATTCTTATTGGACTAGATACAGAGAGTCATCCTCACAGCAGACTCACATGAGTTAGATTAGATTAAATTCCACTGATTTCTGTTCCCATATTTAGCTATTCAGGAATGGATAAAAACCTTGGTTATATTTCTTTTAAAGAAACGTATCTGTGCTAAACCAAGAAAGATGAAGAGAATTTGCTTTAGCACAGATATTGTACAAGGCAAGTTATTTGCTTGAATTCTTTTCTATCAGAAGCCACCACTTTGCTTGTGCTTCTTCCAAGTATTTCGGTAGAAGCAGAAGCAGTCGTTCGGCTCTGCCATCCATCCAGGTTAAGCCCATAAAAGAGGTCATCTCAGATATACTTACTTACTTACTTACTTACTTACTTACTTACTTACTTACTTACTTACTTACTTACTTACTTACTTACTTACTTACTTACTTACTTACTTACTTACTTACTTACTTACTTACTTACTTACTTACTTACTTACTTACTTACTTACTTACTTACTTACTTACTTACTTACTTACTTACTTACTTACTTACTTACTTACTTACTTACTTACTTACTTACTTACTTACTTACTTACTTACTTACTTACTTACTTACTTACTTACTTACTTACTTACTTACTTACTTACTTACTTACTTACTTACTTACTTACTTACTTACTTACTTACTTACTTACTTACTTACTTACTTACTTACTTACTTACTTACTTACTTACTTACTTACTTACTTACTTACTTACTTACTTACTTACTTACTTACTTACTTACTTACTTACTTACTTACTTACTTACTTACTTACTTACTTACTTACTTACTTACTTACTTACTTACTTACTTACTTACTTACTTACTTACTTACTTACTTACTTACTTACTTACTTACTTACTTACTTACTTACTTACTTACTTACTTACTTACTTACTTACTTACTTACTTACTTACTTACTTACTTACTTACTTACTTACTTACTTACTTACTTACTTACTTACTTACTTACTTACTTACTTACTTACTTACTTACTTACTTACTTACTTACTTACTTACTTACTTACTTACTTACTTACTTACTTACTTACTTACTTACTTACTTACTTACTTACTTACTTACTTACTTACTTACTTACTTACTTACTTACTTACTTACTTACTTACTTACTTACTTACTTACTTACTTACTTACTTACTTACTTACTTACTTTTGGATTTATATCCCACCCTTCTAGACAAAAATCTACTCAGGGCGGCTCATAAAATCAAACAAATAAAAACAACAATTAAAAACTACAAGAATGGGAGAATAAATAACAAAAGCAAGAAAACAGAATTGGCGGGAGGGAAGGCCTGCCTAAAGAGCCAGGTTTTTAATTGACTCTTAAAGGCACCTAGCCAGGGTGCCAAGCAGATCTTTGGTGGCAAGCTGTTCCAAAGTCGAGGGGCCACTGCCAAGAAAGCCTCCTGTTCTTTCTTTTTTGGCCTCTCTCGGCATCAGGCCCCTCAACCGTCTTTCCTGGTTCTGGCGAGTGACTCGAGTAGATCTAGGTGGGAGAAGGCGTTCTGCTAGGTATCAAGGTCCTAAACCGTTTAGGGTTTTATATGTCATCATTAACACTTTGAAGTCAATGCGGAAACAAATGGGCAGCCAATGCAAGGCGGCCAGAATGGGAGAGAGATGCTGGTGTTTTCTTGCTCCACTAAGTAAACTGGCTGCCGCATTCTGCACCATTTAAGCTTCCATATTTAATCTCAAAGGTAGCCCCACGTAGAGCGCATTACAGTGGTCTAATCTTGAGATTACAAACGCATGGACCAGAGTGGTGAGGGCCCCACCATCAAGATTGGGACACAGCTGGGCAATCCATGGTGAGTGCCAGGTCCAGGTGTACTCCCAAGCTGCAAACCTCACTCTTTACGGCGAGAGTCACTCCCCCCAAAAGAGAGGGAGTTTCCCAAGCCGCCAATGGGGGTGGCCACCGACCCTCAGGACCTCCATCTTGTCCGGGTTCAGCCTCAGCCCATTCCCCTTCATCCATTGCAGTACGGCCTCCAGGCAATGCTGAAGGGACAGAACGGCATCCATTGAAGTAGGTGAAAAGGAGATGTAGAGCTGCGTGTCATACCATATTGATGGCACGAACCCCCACACCCCCACACCCCACCGCCCAGCAGCCTCATATAGATATTAAACAGCATTGGGGAGATGATCAAGCCTTGCGGAACCCCTAATTGAGACTCCACGGGGCCAAGACACTCTCCCCAAGCTGAACTCTTTGAGGACGCTCCTCCAAGGAGGATCGGAGACAGGCAGGCGCCAGGCTATACCATGATTTTATTTGCTCTCTACTGGAGCCAACATCCCCTTTAATTTTCCAGAGTTCTCCGTGAGGGCTCCTCTCCATGGCGTGTGGGATTCCAGCCACGGCTGGAAGCAAATAGATGGAAACACTGGGTTGGCACCTGTGCTTGGACACAGTTTAGAGGGAACTCTGACTGGAGCACAAATTCCTGTTGCACGCATTGTTACACAGTCTCTTTTGGATTAGCTCTTAATTGATTATACAAAGGTGAACAAATGCCCAAATTATGCCTGGATCCAAAGGAATCTTCTGCTACTGAGAAAAGGATTCCCAGTTTTCCCTTCCAGCTGGATTTCCTCACTGTGTTATGCTTGGAGGCTCCAAGCATTGGGAGATGCTTAGGGGACACTGAAAAGGGATAAGGACAAGAAGGGGAGGGAGGGGAATGAGAAGATCATGGGGTTCTACACACAACTTTTGGGATCCAACAGTAAATCTGTTTTTTTTTTCATTTTTTTAAGGGGTTATTGGCCTGAAAGTCAAGTATTGCTAAATCTGACACACCATAAAAGGCCAATTGCTCCTCACCAATGCTATGCTTCCCCAAATATAGACAAAAACAGACAGCTGCATGCACTATATGCCATGTTCACACTGTGTAATGCAAGGTATTTTATCTGTCAGAGCTGGCATGTACTGTTTCAAGTAAACAATATCGGTACCAATGTATCAGCTATACCATTATTATTCTGCATGATAATTAGGTTAAGACTTTCTTGTTATGAGGAATCATATACAGTGGTGCCTCGCTTAACGAGGGCTTCGTTTAACGACGACTACACTTAGCGATGACTTTTTCAGAGCAATCTTGCGCTCCATTTAACGATGTTCCCTATGGGTGATTTTCGCCTAGCGATGTTTGGGACCATGCTTCGCATAGCGATGACAGTTTGGGTCCCCCTGTTTCACTTAACGATGGTTTTGACAGCCTCATGTTTGCTGTTTTTTATGTTTAAAAATGTTTAAAAATGTTTAGAATGCTTGAAATCATAAGTGCACTTAATAAACCCTTTGTTAAACTAATTTGACTCTGTTCCGACTCTTTTTAAATTTGTTGTGATTTTTCCCCCATTGAGATGCATAGAATAGGTTTCAATGCATTCCAATTGGGGAACTGTGTTTCGCTTAGCAATGTTTCCTATGTCGATTTTCGTTTAAGGACGACAATCCGTTCCCATTGGAATGGATTATCCAGTTTTCAATGCATTTCTATGGGAAAACGCGTTTCGCTTAGCAATGTTTTCCCATAGCGACAATCTTTTTGGAACCAATTAAAATCGTTAAGCGAGGCACCACTGTACTTCTTCAAAGT